TATTTATTTATTTATTTATTTATCATATTTATATAGCCGCCCATCTCACACAAGGTGACTCTGGGTGGTGTACAACAATTAAATAAATAAATAAATACATAAAACACTATATATAAAAAATAGTAAAATTATTTGCCTCATTATCCTGCTTATCTTGCAAAATACACTTGATTTATTTGGCTCTGCAAGTTCAAAGAATAAACTTGAATAGGACCTGTGCATTGTTGAATTGGGAGGTCATTTGGAGGAGTAAAGTCGCATGCAGCTGGGGAAAAGGCAAACACACCCAGACTTAATACTATTTTATATACTTTCAAGATCACTATTATTTCAGTGTTACCTTTTTATCCTTTACATATTTTGTGCTAGACAAAACACAACTGTGAGACACACCCAATTTACAAAATTGCTTTGTTAATTATTAGAGTTGTTCTGTTAAATGCTAGTGTTTCCTTGTTGTTTCCTTATTATTATTTGGGATGTATATACTTTCAAAGTTAACATCAATAGAATAAAGCTGAAAGTGTATTTTGTGTTCACTATTCCAAATTTTCATACCAAACAATTCAAATTAAAGTAGTAGACCTGTTATTGTGTGGCTTTGTTTGAAACTTGCAACAGAAATGCATACCATTGCATACTGTATATAAAAGTGTAACTAATCGGTAACAATGAACTCTACTGAATTTATCAAGGCATCAGGAATTACATGAACTTCACACTTGGGAGGGAACCAAAGTAACTGTTGTGTGACCCTGGGATGATAAATGTGCACGCAATTTACAGCAGTGGATGACTGAGACCCATTGTTTGTCAACATCTGAATCTATTGTGGTTTTGGTTTTGGGGTTTTTTTTGACAAGGGCCAAGGAAGCAGGCTTTTAAGCAATCTTGTCAAGTTTTCTTGATGTACATTTTCAGGGTTTGTTTTTCATCTCTTGTATTATATATATATGGTGTACATGCGATCTATTCATACTATCTGGTATGCCCCTTTTTTCCTTGTGTTTTTTCTTCAGTTATAAATAAAAATAGTGTTATAATTCTGTAACAGAGCAGAATAAGTACTCCCCAGTGGGAGAAAACATGCAGGAGAGAGAATAAAAGTACAATTAGCTTAAGATCTCTATTGCAAAAAAAACCAAACAAACAAAAAACCAGATATATAGGCAAAAATATCAATAGCACAATTCTATTAATGATTACTCTGAACCTAACCAACTTGGCTCATGTCAAAAATCAAAGCAAGTTAAGATCTGGCCAGGCAGGGCTACGATATCTAGGCTGCAAAAATCTGGACCTCTAAGTGGCAGCAAAGTGTTCATTCTCCCTATCTCTGAACTGCCCTCTAATACTTGTCCTGATTTTTGGCAAGATTTTTGGTGGCCCTAGATTAGTACTTGAATGAGAGTTCTTTTGAGGATAGCACAGATGCAGTAGATTAGACCAAGAAGTTGAAAAAATATCCTGGAAGAAGGAAGTGGTAAACAAGTTCTATATTGCTGCCAACAAAACTTCATGGTTATGTCCAGCTCCACTTGAAGGAGAATTTACCTGTTTACTCTGAACTACATCCTACTTTTTTTTTCCCAGTGGGAATTACTCCTAGAATTTCAGCTTTAAAATGTTAGTGGACTAAGAAATAACAATGCACTAGCTGAGACTCACATATTTAAATTTGGAATCCTTTTGTATAACCTTAAGCTAGCCTCTCCCCACAAGTTCAGCAAAATAATTTAAAGTAAATGGCCAAAGTATTTTTGATTTTGTGTTTTCTATGGCTCTAATGTGATCTCTCCTTCAAAAGCTCAGTTATTGAAAGGGGAGCGGGAGTAAGTTCGCAAACTCACCTTTCACTAAAGATGTTTTTTTCAGATTGTGGGCCAGGACATTTATACTGGCATAAGTACCATTGATGCTTCCATTGAGAGGACGCCTGCCTTTGTGCCCAACTTGGTCTCCAACTGCAAGGTGGCTTCCATCTGATGCATCAACAGCAATGTAGTTGAGGCCATTCTGGAAGCCAGCTGAGGTTTCCCGGCACATGGGGCTGCTGTTCTGTTCCTCCCCCAAACCTTCATTTTTCCTGAGGGACACATTTTCTACAGAGGCAGAACTCTGCCGCTTAGGATTGTGTGCAAAGGAAGGAGAAACAGGAGTCACTGTGGTAGTAGATAAGAAAGTTTCTGAACTGTGCCTCCGACGCCCCTGAGGGTCAGCACGAATGACTTTGGCTCCATGATTGGGATTAAAAGGAGGACTGGCAAAGACAAAGGCCTCCACCCCAGGAAGGGTAAGTTGCTTCAGGCCAGGGCCAGGGCCGGTCACCCGGACGCTTTCTGGCTTCTGTGAGATGGGCTGGGGTGGTGCGGTGGCAGTGGTAAAAATCATCTCCGTATAGTCACCGGCTTCAGAAGATGGGCTGGAAAGGCAAGCCATCTGTATGCCAATCTTTAAATAATGCTTGTCTAGCTGCCCAGAGCTAGGGCAGGATCCTGGCAAAAGTACTTCTTCCAAGGACCCCAGAGAAATGGCATTTGACTGGGGACCATCAAAGTTGAGGTTCATATAGTTGGAAATCCTTGAACCCCTATGCCCACCTAAGCCAGAGTTAAGCAGAGAGGGTGAGCTCTCACAGGTTGGTGCCAGCGAATAGCCAATGTTGACATAATCCCCACTGGAACTCTGGGGTTCCTTTGGAAAAGGCTGTTCATTCGTGCTGGGTAGCAAAAGCCCTAAAGAAGGGTGTATGGGCTGGGCATTGCCTGTCTGTTGGCTGAGAGAGCTCTGAGTCTGGCTGTGATGCATGGATAAATGCATTGCAGTACTGCTGCACGGAGCAAGAAAGAATTCCCCTTTGGGAGTGTAATTTTGTCTGCCTGTTGGAGAGCTCATAAGCACATACTGGTCGCTGTCCTTTCTCTCACCGTGAGAATCTGACTGCTGCTGGCATGCATGCGATAGGCTACCCAAGTAGCTAGCCTGATTCCCAAGCCTCAGGACGCTGAAATGATCAGTGGAGAGCACAGGCGAGTCCGAAGCAGGAGGCCCATGCAAAGGGGGCAAAAGCAAAGGGGACATACTGATGTAGTCCTCGCTGGCCACTCTCTCCTCCGGACTCTCTCCAGGCAGCCGGGCACTGGTACTCCACATGCGCATGTAGCCACTACCGTCTGGAGAACTCTCACTGTTGGCCTTGTAGGAATGAGGTTGTGCAATCTGCTGTGGGGCTGACATACTGGTGGGGCGCATAGACATATAGCCACCGGGATCAGTCCGCAATGGCAAGACACATGCTATGCTGGGACTCATGGGCATATAGCCATCCTCCTTAGGCACGCTGCAGCCTGAACGTGACCTGTCACCGCTGGTGCCACTGCACCCAATGTCCACATCGCAGTAATCCTCAGGATAAGGAGTATAGGCTGCCTTTGGAGAATACCCCGCTCTGGAAAAGGTGGCCTGCATGAGTGTGTATTCATCCAGGGAGGCAGAGGAAACTGGAGGAGGCAAGGAGCCCTGGTGTGCTGGTGTTGTCAAAGAGTAAGTGCGCTTCCTGGGAACCTTGTCCTCGCCACAAGGATATGGCTGGTGGCGAAAGGGTCCCCGTTCCATAGCAATGTAGCCGTCCAACTGCCAGCCAGGAGGAGTCTCAGGTGTGTTGCTATGGTGGCTTGTTGCTGAAGAAGATGAGAAAGGCAGTAGGTCTCCAGCTGGACTGGAGCCTAATTCCTCAAAAGTCATGAAGCCAGCTAGGTCACCTGGGGAACCAGAAGCAGAGGCACTGCAACTGGATAAACGCTGAGAGGCCAGGCTTGGCTCTGTGGTCAACTTTGGCCCCAGGGAGGAAGAATGCCCTAAAGCTAGGGAGCCACCAGAATGGATCGCTGTTTGCCCCCCCAGTGGGCTAGCACTCCCCCTGATTCCAAAGCTGTGTGGGATTTGCCCAGTTTCAGGGCTCAGGGGGCTGCCAGACAGTGAATCGGCCCTAATTCCGTCACTC